GCAATGAGGGAACCAAGCAGTGAGGCAATGAGGCACTGCTAGGAGGCGCGGATGTGCAACCAAAAGGAGAGGCAGCACACAGGGCAAGCAAGGGGACAGCCAAGCAGTCGGCCAGCACCAACAAGGCAAGCGGAGGGGCCTCCTCGCAGCAAGCCCTTACCAATACGGCAGTCCACTCGTACACACTACAGAGCAAAGTAGAACATTGCCTACTTCTCACAAGAACACTGCCTACTTCCACCACAAGTACAACTCTATAGACACCGCCATCGGAGCCAGGGAGTCAAATGTCTGTCATCACACAGGGGACACAAACACAGGCATCCTGAACATAGCATCCTTGCTAACAGTGTTGCAGGCACTCCAAACAAACATGTACTGACAATTCGGCACATCTTCAACCACCAGTACATGGCCCCAGGCATCTTTTTATTTTTCTCTCTCTCTTTTCCTCCCAACGAGAGGCCACGCTGTAGTACAAATCAGCAATCTGGGCATTGGATAAAAAAGACTTGCGGCCCCTGCAACGACAGATAACCGCCTTTCTGTGGAGGGGGGACCACAAGAAACAGAACGTGATCAGCTGAGTAGCGTGGCGATCCATCACCCAGCCTAGAACCAGAGGCGGCCTTGGTATCATTGACCCCCTGTTACAGACCAAAGTGTTAGCAATACAATGGCTTAAACACCTGCTGTTCAACCCTGAGTCTCCATGGAGAGGGCTGGCCCTGGAACAAATATCCCGCCTGGCCCCGCAGACATCTGACGACAAGGATCTGCTGATGTGGTTGGAGAACAAGGGATGGCCTATTCCAAGAGCAAAAGTACAGCCACAGGACCTCAACTCCGACTCTCCAAGGCAAGCAACAAGGTCTGATTTACGGAAGGATCCATTCTGGCCCAACCTCCTTAAAACATGGAGAAGCCTCCCTACAGTCGGCGAGGAATGATGAAGGAGGCACCCCTAATGCGGCACAGACACCCGCATTCGCGGGATCCGGGCGACGGCGAGCAACCCCATATAGTGTGTCAGTTGCGGCAGGCAGCGTCGACAACACCGCAGCGTGGGTAGAAATGATATGCAACCGGCTGTGATGAAGAACTTAAAGGCTTTCGTGGTTTTTAGTGACAGCGACACACTTAGCAGTAGGTGGGCGGTAGGAAGTAGTAACTATCGTCCCCAAGAAATCCCACGTACCACTTCTATCATCCGTCCTAATCAGGGTGAGGTTACTATCATATGAGTTAAGAAATTTATCATATAGAGAACATGCTCTTTGCACATTCCTAACACTAACATTCGGAAAGGAAGTCGTAGTCCTGATATAAACTTGTCATCTGAACCGATGGAAGAGATGAATTTGAACTCATTATAGGAACACGACAGACATGCTAAAGCTGGGCTAGAACATTTGCCCGTTGGAATACCAACGGTCTGTCGTAGAATTTGTGAGCTAGCAATAACGAGAATGTTTTTTAACTGGACAATAACGGTCCTAGCTAGTTGCGATAACTTGACTCTAACCCAACTTTCATTAGACGTCTTCTTACTAAAAGACCATCCTTTACCAAATATGTTAACCACAATACTACGAATACCTTTGGAGGTGAAAAAGTGACAGATCCACATGACTGACTCAATGATGGAGGCATGAGGAAGCTTAGTGAACATTTCTTTTATGTCAAAGCTTCCAGAGATGAGGAAACCATCATGTTGTCTTCGGGCCCTTGCGTTAATAGATCCAATTCCTTTTGTAGCAGCACTCGTTCATTTGAGATTAAAGTGCAAGTACTTCGGGAGTGACAAGAGAAGGGCACTGATCGTTCTACCAAGGATCTGATTTACTCGAACTGTTGGTTCGGAAAAAGAGGGTGAGATAGACCTCCACCTTTCAATGTCTTTGTGCTTGGGGATCACATAACAATTACCGAATTTGCCTCTACAGTTCCAACCAGCAATGGAATGTGATTTAGATAGAATATATTCTTCCTTGCGGGCACAAATAATGTTAGATTCCAATCTCGTATCCACGACGAACCCGTGATTTTCTACAAACAACATTCTTATAGCATCATAGTATACTGATTAGCAGCATACGTAAGTGTCACCGGGGTTATGATCTATCGGCATTGCTACCAATCCTTCTAACTTGGTCTTCCATATAAGATCAGATTGGGAGAGAGTTAAAGAAGGACGGAAACGAGGCATCGGGTGAAAACAGACAAAAACCATAGTCCTTGGTACACACTCAGTCACGCAGGGTACTTTCTTTAGACCAACTGTAATGTCTCTCTTGATCATCCCAAGAGAAGATTCAAGCATAGGTTTACAAATATTCCTAGAATATTCCTAGAATTGGAGAACACAGATGATAGGTCAGGAATATCAGAAAAGCGGAAAGAAATGTGATGTGTTATTACGGGGAAACTCAGCGGAAGGGCTACATGAGCAGGTAGGGGTTGTGGTTCTGGCATACAATCGGTGATTGTGAATTAGCTGGCCAACCAACTTATTGCATGTCCAGACGACAAGTATCCTAGAGACCATAAATTCAGCAAGACAAACTAAATCGACTTTTTTTCTTATAAGATATTTCGCAGTTTCGGCGACCTTAGCTTTCTGTACAAATGAATGAAAGCGGATTTTAACGACCACCGGACTAACACATCCAAAACCAACTTTGTGAGAGATGATAGGTCCAATGATCTGGTTCAATTTCCCCTGTGCCCTGCTAGAGAAAAAAACAGTCCGTAGTATTATAAAGCTTATTAGGGTTCGGAAGAGAAAAATCATACAGCAAACATATCGACCAGGGGATGTGAAGGATAGAGTCAAGAACACTCTTTCTTCGTTCTCTGGCATCAAAATGTCGATGAATACGAGTAAAGAAAAAAACACCTCCATTCATGAATTCAAACTTCAAAAACTTAAGGAGCGTAGTACGTTCATTGAACACGACTGAACTATAACAAAAAATCCGTTTGAGCCTACTCCAGGCATCCAAAAAGGTATTACCTCCTAAGCTCACCATCGTAGTTGAGCATTCATTATTAACGAGACACAGGTCAAGTTCAAAAATAAGTGAAAAAGAAGCATGGGAAGACTTAGGAAGGAGGGTCGAGCTGCAAGATCTTATAAGTGAAGTCATCGTTTACCCAACTTTTACCCTGCTTGTTACGTAGAGTTGCTCTTTCCGTCTTGCCTGGTCTAAGACAACCATGCTTCTTAGCTGACAAACGTGAGTTAAGCCCTGGACACCAATGAGAAATAAAGAAGGATTCCACTCTTCTAATTTCATTAACTAGTGGAAAGGCGATTGGAATAGCGACGTAAGACCACCACCCTTTCTTGTGGAACCATTGCCTAAGCTTATGGTTGGATCCTACCTTACGACTGGAGGATAGTCTCACATGTTCGTGCCATTTAGTCGTTAGATCGCGAAAAGTAGAACCAATGTAAGTAGCCCGAAAGAAAAGAGAGATTAAAAGGTAGACACAGGGTTGAGTAGGGGAAAAAATATAATATCCTGAGTCGAAAAGATCTAACCAACTAGTCACATATTTCCTGGCCCAAGCCAACTGGCTAGATAATAATAGGATAATGACTAAAAATCGAGTCCAAGCTTCCCTATCTTCAAACTCCTTTCCTCTTCTCACCACTGTAGCCCGATTATGGAGAGTTTTTCGCAGAACGCCCCAAACACAGGCAAGATCTAAAGATTATCAGGAGGGATTTTCCTCCTGTGTGTCAGTTGTGATGTTCTCGAGACCATCATCATCCGATTCATCTCCATATGCATCCCGGGCTCTGATTTCTTCCAAATCAGCAGAAGTTTGCTTCTTGTTAAAATAGTTGATGTTGTCAGCCTTGCAGAGCAACTCAAGCTGGTATTCCGACTTGGTCAGGAGTTCCTTTTTCAGGTCTTCGACATACTTAACACGATCGTCCTTACCACATGAAGCAACGGATGCCTTCTTACCAGGGTTGATGCGATCGAAGCCCAAAGTCTCATCCTCATTCTGGCATCGCGCAGGAGAGACGGAGCGTCGTCGAGCTGAGTTACCAGCCACAAAGGCAAACATATCGGCCAGGTGAGCAGAAAAACAGTTCCCTGCGGGTGTCTTCTCCTGTGCCTTACCACGAGAGGGGTCAGGTTCAGTGGGACCAGGGGCCTTCTTCTTCGGGTATGGTGGAGGGGATGGAGGGGGCACAGGAGGGGGGTTAGAGGAAGATCGTGTACAAGGAGGGGGCGGAGGGGGGTGCACTGGAGGTGCGGCTGGGGCCGAAGGTCCAGGATCCACATTTTGATGGATACCGATCATACCGTGGGTGGCGGTTCTAGCTGTGAGTGTCGATCCCAACTTTTCTACGATCTCCATCGTACGTCTAATAAGTACGAACTGGTGATCTTGAGCTCGTTGCACGCTATCAATTTCCATCAACAGCAGATCGGCATCGAGTCCAGAGACCCGGGGGACACTTGGCTTAGGTTGCTCCGGTGTACGAGCCTTACCTTGTGCTGGAAGGATAGGAGGTGAACCTTCAATCTCATGTTGAGACCTCTTGCGATTGTCGCGTTCATCCATAATAGCCTCCTTGCCTAACCTCCGCTTTGGTTCACCCACCACTCTCTCAATCTCCTTCCAGATCGTCTTGTTTTCTTCCTCAGTGCGAGCTTGGTGTTGTTTGTCCAATTCCTCCATCTTCGCATTAATCATCTTCGCCATCCTCGCCTCCTTCTCCGCTTGGCATGCTTCTTCTTATTCCGTACATCGCTTCTCATTCTCCTTGTCGATTCGGGCTTGCTCCTCATTGCGCCGACGGTTTTCCTCCTCACGCCTTTTGTCCTTCTCTTCCCTTCTGTCATTGACAAGTTCTCGGAGCGGGGAGACCACCTCCCCTCGTTGTTCCTTTGCCGAGGGACCCACGGAGCCGTCGAGGGAGGAGGGACGATATGGAATAATCGCGTTCGTAGGAGATGATGATGGTGACAAGACAGCTTGTGGGGGAGGAAGAGGGGGAAGGGGAGGGAGAGGGGGAGGGGGAGGGGGAGGGGGAGGAGCAGGAGGAGCTTGTGCAAGGGGAGGAGCTGACAGGGCATAGACTGCCTGCGCATACGTCTGAGGCGGAGGGTACGAGGAAGGGCTAACACCAAAACGACCCACCGGTACCCCGGAGATTAATCCATCCTGACGGGGGTATGGACAGTTCCTTGCGAAACGGCCAGGTTGTCTGCAGTTATAGCAGACACGATCGTAATTCGGATAATGCATTCCATCTGCCATCTCAAGGTTAGATAGATACAACTGTAACGACTATGCTAATAACATCTGTTTCGTAGAGGATATTTATTCTATGTATCAATTCTTTAATAAAGCAACTAGCGCATCCAACAAAACGCGATTGGCTGAGAATAAGTTCTAAGGTAGGTGATCGGATAAGAACACGGTAGCAAATGATAGTTGCCATGCAAATGAAAGGTAGTATGGGGAGAAATGAGGTTGCGGTAGTCAAGGCAAAAAGCACCCTAAGGACTACGCCAATGCGTCTACACCAAGCTACGATTAACGGAGTGGTTACAGGCGCTACCACAGACTTGGGGGATAACGCAATCGCAAGGATGCGTAACAGCCAGCAGGCCGTGATCAGAACGGGAGTAAGCGGGTGGAGAAGAAGAGGTAGAAGGTACGCATGGAGAAAGAGAAAGGGTGGAGAGAGATAGAAAGAGAGAAACAAGACATTTACAAGGCCATAAAGAGACATAAGTACGCACAAATGTAATTGGCATTGAAATGAAAAGCAGGAAAGAGCATAATGCCAGTCTGGCGATATCCCTACGTGTTTCAACCGTCCGCCAGAGACGGTATCATCAGGGGAAGGTGTGTGTAGTTGTCTCCTCCTACTCAAGTTACATAGTATCATCATCTTCCTACATTCCCTTCACACAGATCCTCTCCCGAAACCAAAGAGGAATAGGAGAATTGGAAAAGGCGGCGGCGATAGATATGGGGAGGGAATAAGTCCCTAAACATAGCATTTGTCACCTGTCATGAAGTACTAGAGGCCAATGAAACCGTCGGAAGAGCCAGGCATACATTGAAACAGAACCCCTAATCAGACAAAAGAAACGAGATAAATCGAAGGTTACATCCTTAAACATGAGCTACGACGGCCACATAAAGCTGATTCACGGAGATGAAAGATCGGTTGATCGTGTAAGGTTGCACATTCAAAATGTCGAGGTGAAAACTAGGTTTCGAAGTCGTCCGCTGAATAGTATTTCATATAGGAATCAATGTCAAGGGCGCCGTTTGCCCAGGTTGAGACTTATACCGCAGAGTGAGAAGCCATTCTTGTTCAGATATCGCTAGCCGGCCAGATCCCGGTCTGATTTCGCCGGTCCTCGATCCCAGATCCAACACATCAAAAACCAAAAAAGAAAAGATAGAGTAAGAAATCCGTTCATAAAAAATCGGGGACGAGATATACTAACAAAACCAGCCATCCTGAAGTCGGAGACTCCACAGACCGTCTCAGATCTCAAAGAAAGGGAGAGGAAAGGAGAGAGAGAGAGAGAAAGCGCGAGAAGAGAGAAAGGAGAGCACGGGTACTCTAAGAAGAGATTTTTTCCAACTGGTTCCAGAGCACGTACACTGATGTCGATGGAGCTCGTGAGTCAGACAGATTCGAAGAAGTCCCTTCTAACTGAAAACCAGAGTCGCAGAGAACAGTGAAGTCTCTAGCGGAATGTGCATGTTCGTCATTCCCTCCATCAGTAGAATTGATGACTGGCGGGCACAGTGTGCTTGAAAGGACGATGTACGTAGTGCAGACCTCCTTAAATTAGAAAATCCCGTGGAGAAAGAAATTCAGGCACTCCGAGGGGGTCATTATAAAAAAGGCGGGAAGGTTGGTCGAATGGGCAGGCCAAACCGAGAAGACATGGACCGAGCAAATAGCGACCGATCGAATGCATCTGGGCAACAAGGGAAAAACCGGGACCATAATCAGAATTGGTTCAGAAGTGAAAAAAGGGCAACCCAGATATCCCAGACCCTGCCGTGGTTATCAGAAAAGACTCGTAAGCAGTTAAGAAACATGGCCCTGGGAAACCCTTTTAATCTGAGTTCACGCATCACTGAAAAATGTTATCAGGGCCCAGTGTACAAGGCAATAACATCAACACTCCGAAAAGAAAAAGATAAAAAGGGAAAAATGTTGAAATGCCCCCAGTTGGGTTATTTCATGAGATATCCCTAAAAGGCAAGGGTATGGCAAAATGCGCCTATGACAGTTGTGAAACTTTGCAAAATACCCCACTCGCCAATCGGACCCGCCATCTTGTGCATACACGCCTACCAGTCCCTGTGCAACTTGTCCATATGCCCCAGTATCTCTGGTCGTTTGAGGGTGGAAAATTTTGCAAATGCCCCTACCCGTAGCTGTCAAGTTTTCATTTTGCCCCTGTAGCCCTTCAAAGCCCTACCAGGAGTGTTTCTACAAATCAAGCAGATTGTTGGGCAGAGGAAAGGTGACGGAGGCGGAGATGGAAAATGACGAGCAAGGCGCAGAGATGGCGGTGGAAAGGTGAGAGTAGAGGAGGAGGAGGGAAGCTAATGGAGATGGATGTGTAAAGGCCATAGTAGAGGAGGAGGAGCGAAGGTGATGGAGGCGAAGAGGAAGGAGGAGGAAGGTGGGAGGATGATGAGGAGGAGGAAGATGAGCAAGTGGAGGAGGGAAGATGTGTTGTGGGGAAGCATCTTACCTGGGTGGCTATGGCAACATACTACGAGCAGAACCGGTGGCGAGGGAAACACAAACAAGGAAACATGGACGGCAACACTCTAGCAGAAAACAGTGACCTCAACACAACACGTTCAAAATTCGAATTGGACCGGCGCCAAGTTCGATGTGGGGCAGGCAAAAAAGAGGCCTGCCTGGTAGAGGGGCAGATGGCAAAAGAAGTGCCTCGGTCTCTGCAGTCCAGGCTGAGGGCACATGGCGAAGTTGCCTGTGGATGGGACAGGGGGATATGCAGAAGTTCAGAGCATTTCATTGCACCCCTGTGTTTTAGGGGTGTCTGACAAAATACTCCAACTTTTCGGGGCATTTCAACAATTTTCCCAAAAATAAAACAATAACATCAACACTGTTTGCTTTCTGCTATTGCACAACAGGAAAAAATCACTGAACAAATCGATAGTCAACTGGCTAACTTTTGTCAGAAATTTACTCAGAGTTTCTTAGCAACTCACTTGGGTTGTCCAGTTGATGTAGCTCAGTGGTTAGAGCACCAGTTGGAAATGCGCATCGTGGTATGAGGTTGCGGGTTCAAAACTCAATTGCAGCCTCGCGCATGGACACTGGCAGGGCGTTAGTTTGACGCAGGGCTGGACACACACCCCCTTAGGCTGACCCAGGTAAGCTATTACAGACAATGTCTGCGTACCACCCAAGGGTTAGTCCGGGTTGCTATATGTCGGCTTCTACCTACACGGGTTACTGGAGGACATTGGCTACTGGTTACCCTGTTGATCTCCCCGCCCTGTTGATCTCCCCCATCATCCCTCTCATACATGGTTGGCTAGCCTAGTTTCATACAACACATCCTAGGTTTGAGTCTGACATAGTTGTCATACACATATATACTCACAGTGTCACACGATTCTTGCTACCTATACGCCTACACACACCGCTTGCACATACAGCCATGTGTTACAACATAGATAGACACATCTGCATACTAGTGGTACAACATATCTGCATACTAGTAGAATAGGGTGGGGGAGACCGATTCCTGTCATGGGCTCGTCATGGGTTCAGGCCAGGCTACGAGGAGTCTACTCTGGTCCATGCGAACACTTAGTTGTGATTCGGTTCGTCGGTATGGACTGATAGTGCAACTCGGTTCGTCGGTATGGACTGATAGTGATACCAATTGTGTCTGACGTCCGAAGTCCCCGAGTAACAAGGCTTGCGCGATTAGGCTTCCACTGGGGCTGGGTAGAGGTAGGACTGTCAAGTCCTGGTGCCTATAGCTACTGTTCGGTCTATGTCACCCTCTGAGGTAGGATAGTAGGTGTAGGGGGTGCATAAGGAGAATTGAAGTGAGGTAGGGTTGGGAGGCAGTCCTGCCATCGCGCAGCAGGGTACCCACTGCTGGGTGAGCTGGAAAAGTACCAGGAAGGTGTCACCTCCGATATCAGAATAGGTGGGAGCCATGAGGCCGCACCTGGCCGGGGGGTGTGGTCCATACCACCAACTCAGGAACAAACCTCCCCATGAGAACTTCCAATTCGGTTGCCAGTAATAAAACTGGGTAGGTTGCCTACTGGGAAGTCTCCCTCCGGCGCTCCAATGACAGTACCCACCTGGGTTGATACCCGACCTCCATAACAACCTGGGCTTTATGAATATGGAAAAAAGAAAAAAAGAAACAACGAGGGACCCACGGGTTGTCCTGGACATGTCTTCGCAGCCCGTAGGCTGCGCTCTACCCCGTTGGCTTTTGTCGTTTGTGTCCTAGGCAACAATGGTCGTGTCGTCGGTACCGGTAGTGGGCGCTGCGGGGAGGTAGCCGGGAAGGCTGGCGGAGTTGGTAGCGGGGCGAAACCCTGTATCGGAAATCACGGAAGTGGGCAGGGTCCGCTTACTTTCATTGTGAATGCCCCAACCAGTCTGTGAGCAGCAGGGGTTTTGTCCGGGGCAGAATTTTGGAGGTTCGGTTTTCAGAGTCTGTGGTTGGTGGACGGTGTTTCGTGTAGAGTGCGATGTAATGCGGAGGTTCTGCGGAGGCGCAGAATGGTGATGCGGAGGTGCTGTGGAACAGATGCAGAAAAAGTAACGCTTTCCGGGGCGGGGGAAAGGGCAAAAGCAGCGAGGCGCCCAATGTGCAAATGAGAATGAATCTTCCCCCACGTCATGAAAAGATCACCAAAATTTGTTGTTCGACACTCAGTCTCTCTCTCTCTCTCTCTCTCTCTCTCTCTCTCTCTCTCTCTCTCTCTCTCTCTCTCTCTCTTTGTGTGTGTGTGTGTGTGTGTGGTCCCCACGCTACGCCCAAACAACATCATCAACCTCACCACACTCCCACGGTCTCACCCATGGGCCGACTGAGGGCTATGGTTGAGTAGCGGACTGAGGGCTCTTCGGCCTTGCTGTTCCCATTTTCTTCGACTGTCCGCCATCCGATTTGCAAATCTATGTGGTGTATGGTCGTGGGAGTATGGCGAGGTTGTGAAGCGGTGTATGTGATGGCAATCTGAGTGTGAGGCGATGCGAGATGTTATCTGGGACTCTGGGAGTCACCTGGGCTTCGGTGCACGCACGGGCGCGCACACACACACACACACACACACACACACACACACACACACACACACACATACACACACACGCAGAGAGAGAGAGA